ATTGCAAAACATATGTCATCAAGTAAAATCCGTGCCTCGTTATACACGTTTGGTGTGAATAGATGACATAAATTTCACAATTTAAATATATTCTTACGTAAATCACATAAAAAACCTTTAAAAAAACAACATTTCAAATTTAACTGTTTTAAAAAGCGCTGCCAGCGTTTAGAGCGTTGCCATATACTCCCTCAGCTGTTAAGAGCTACAGCGAATTGTCTTCGTTTATGATTCTAAAGACACCTGGAGCCCCCTTAAACACGTACAAAAAATTTCAAAAAAATTAAAAAATTAAAGACACCTGGAGCCCCCTTAAACACGTACAAAAAATTTCAAAAAAATTAGTCCAGCCGGTTACGATTTTATAGCGGACATACAAGGTTACATTCATTTTTATATATATAGATAGATACACTCATTTTAATCAGTTTCATTAGCTATAAGAAATGTTGTTTAGAATTTTAAAATATATTTTTATAAGGTATTTTATAAGGTGCTGTAGCACAAAAAAAAATATTTATTGCTCTGCTCTGCTTTCGTTCTCAAAATAGCTATGCTACGCATAGCAAGAAATATAATTTTCTGCCATTGGTAAAGCTGTAGCTGTGAACTTTTCGTAGCTCGGAGCAGAGCAGAGCAGAAAGTTTTCGTTTTTCTGCTACGGCTCCGCTCCCGCTCTCGAAAAAAGTGAGAACGGTAGCAATAGCAAAACGAAAAACTACGGGAGTACCGTATCTTTTCAAACGATGGTGAAGAACCCTGGAATTGGACGACCAAGTCAGGGCGGGCATCAAGTCTGTCCGGTTTATATCTGTATTGTGTTGCACCATATTTGCTCCATTATTCACTTGTTCCGGCACGGAAAATACTTTGGTTATATTATGGAATGATTAGAGGCCGAAGCAAAAGGACACGATCTCCACCCACGTAGCAGACAAGGATTAGCTGGACAATTGCGCGTGCGTCCTGGATAACGACGGTTCTACTCCCGGGAAAATGTTAAGACGCATCAAGTCACAAACGTTTGGTATTACAGCATTATTAAAAATAAACAAGAAACTGAATATTAAAACCAAAGTCGCTTAACTACCTCTGCTGATGGACAGTCAGAACGACTATCAGCTATATCGTCACCTCTGACCAAACAAAACTATCTGACACATCAAAATTCATGAATATGGCTCTGCACTCTGCAACTTAGGCTCCAATTGACTCCGCTTGAAAAATATACTTTCAATGTTTCTTTAAACCTACTTTTGTTAACTTAAGCATTTTGTACCTAAAATACTATTAAGTTTGTTCAATAAAGTCAGACTCAGTCTAAGTGCATTCGGTGCTCAATCAGAGGCTGTCGCTGTCTGTTTAGGTACTCTTCTTACAACAATCTCTTCGCCGTCCACCTGATTAATTCATTAAATTCGCTCGCCGACTGTCAGTTTCGCGAGGCACGAAAAATCGTACCCCTGACTCAAGAAGGCGGCTTTTGATCTCAACTAATAAAACCTTTATAACGTATTGAAACGATCACTGTTTTATTTGTAACGTAACTCGTGAATAGAAAAACCTAGGTCAAGGCGGGAAGAGACGAGTCAACTAAGAACCAGGAACCAAAGGAACAACGATGGCAACTACTTTAACTAAGTTCATAGGTGATATTTGGGAGAATAGTTCCTCTGGCCATGTCCGGTCATAACTGGCGCCCGAACAGCTCTTCTTTTACGAGGAAAACCCTGGCACCACATTTTGGGCAGTTATATTTTTTTTTGTGTGCGTTAAGAATTTTTGCTGTGTACGTGAATGAAAAAGCAAATAAGAACCAAAATCGAAGCGGTGAATTACTCACTGCGGCGGGTAGCCGATGGCATGACCGCGAGTGCAAAAATTGCCTACACTGTCAATACAAAAAGTTTCCAATGTGCAATTTGATAAAAATAATAAAATGATTATGCACTGCGGCAGCTGCCTTTGGCACGTCTGCGAGTGTAACAATGTCATTTTACATAAACAACATAAGATAACCGCTGCGGCAATTAATTTGTGAGCGGCAAACAAAATAACAAAAAAAAACTAAGAAAATGGTGTGTGGCAGTCTGCTAGAAACGCTAAGAGGTGTGGAATGCCCCCAAAAAAAGCTGCCTAGTGGACTGTGTGTGCAACCGTACCTGAGTAGGCTCAGGCCAAAACGGAACAATACGGACCACCGCGCCCAGTGCCAAAAAGCAAATAAAATGCACGGAAACTTCAATTAAACAAAAAAGAAAAACCTATTTTCTTTCAATAAATAATTACATGCAGAATTGCCAAAAAATGCGCACACAGAAAGAATGAAAAAATGAGACATGACACAGTTCTTGGAATTGTCGAATTCTAGGATGTGTTGTCTTGATTGGTGAGCATCGAGGATGATGCCACAATTCCAGAAGTTGAGCACTTCGTGGTATCCGAAGTGTTGGCTCTGAGAGCGAGAGCGCAACTGTCGAGTGTGGTCCAGTTGAAGAGCGCGACACTTCGGTTTCAGCTCTTGCCATGATCACTTCGCTTAGCAGAAAAGTCCTATACCAGTCAAAAAACAGAGTTCAAACAAATAAATACAAAAGGAACTCCCAAAGTTCAGAAGAAACGAAGTATAAAGAGAAAAATATTAATTGTGGAAATAAAAGAAAATTAAGAATTGATTCATAAAATATAGCAAAAGTTAAGAAAAAATTAAAAATGTAGCGTCGTGCGTGTGAAATTCAAAATAAAAAAAAGGTAGCTTATTCGCGAGTGTAAAAATTGCAATTTTAATTAAATAAACACAGATAACCGCTGCGGCAATTAATCTACGAGCGGCAAAAATTATAAACTTTTTTTGAAGATAAAAAAATTCTTTCCAATTCAAAAAATGTGTCGTGTAAGTGGCAATCTCCTGGAAAGGCTAACGGATGTGGAATGCATTCAGAAAAAGCTGCCCAGTGGATTGTGTGGCAACCGTACCTTAGTAGGCGCAATACCAAAACGGATATATACGGACCAGCGCGCCGATAAACACAGTTACACAAAATCCAAAAAGAAAAAAATCATGAATTTAAAAAAAAAACGCACAAACGGAAATTTCCATGCAATTTCTTTTTGAACAAATAAATGACAGAAATACTAGTTCCAATTTAATTTCAGAATTATAATCCGGTAACAAATAAAAACGAATCAGTTTCGAAAAACATAACCTCCTCCAAACACAAACAAAATAAAAACCGATAAAGCTCCATCAAATATAAGCAAAAATTATTAAGATAGACCTTGGTAAAGATAAATATTTATAAGAATGTTCCTCAGAATATTCCCCTTCAGAAAAGAAGACCAATCAATGATAATTTCATCAAATGACACCCAATTCGGAACACAATTTTTTTGTAGTAATAATATTATAAAAATAATAGTAATATAAAAATAATAATAATATAAAAATAATAATAATATAAAAATAATAATAATATAAAAATAATAATAATGTAAAAATAATAATAATATAAAAATAATAATAATATAAAAATAATAATAATATAAAAATAATAATAATATAAAAATAATAATAATATAAAAATAATAATATAAAAATAAAAATAATATAAAAATTATAATAATACAATAAAACATAACAACTAAAATTAGGACAAATAGACAATTTTATTATACGAATCTATAATTTCATGTAATCCCGTGCCGACGCTACGAGCGCGTCCACAATTTACGTGGCCACAACCCTTACAACAAGGTACCGTCTGGAGGACAAATGACGCTTTCCAACCGGTTCGCGTCATCCATCTGGACCGCAAGCAGCAACTCTTCGACCAGATAACTTACAAGGCCATCACTGACCAATGCATCGGATCATGGATAGCTCTACAGCACGAATTGAGATGTGAGATCACTGGATACGATCTCTCTGAAAGTGAGGTGCGAGATCACCGGACAAATCTGATTGGAATGTCATCGTGAATAAGGAGGACAGCTTAGCAAGGGACTACAGCAACTTCTCGTCAACACACCTGAAGACAATGCTAGTCGTGCTAACCCATATACAAGCCACGGGTGGTGTCTCTCTATCATGACAGCGGTGTACTTCGTTTGGAAGAAGATAACGTCGAGGAGTTAACACCGGCCAAGCGCCCCCCTCCCTTCAACCCTCTCGGCCCTATCGGCTTTCGGAGCTACAATAATGCTGCCGCCGTGACATGAGACCGGCAATGATGCAGCAGCAGATATACAACGACAGCTACGCGGCGACATCGATGGAGAGACCAACCGGGAGAGAACCTTTATAACGTATTGAAACGATCACTGTTTTATTTGTAACGTAACTCGTGAATAGAAAAACCTAGGTCAAGGCGGGAAGAGACGAGTCAACAAGAACCAGGAACCAAAGGAACAACGATGGTAACTACTTTAACTAAGTGGTGTGATGGTGATATTTGGGAGAATAGTACCTCTGGCCATGTCCGGTCATAACTTATATGCTAAAAGACTTACTGTGACTAGATGCCCTATCGTCAGTCAATTAATTATCCACAATTTCGACACGTTGAATCGAGGGCCATTTGGTAGGCTACAGATAAACACATAAACCCAATTGGAAAGAGATAATTTATGGGCTTATAAGGTTGCCAGAATCCACTCTGCTCAAAGTTGTATATGGAAAGGAGGGGATCTTAGAACGAGGAACTAATGAACAAAATAGTCGTAGACTTAGACAGGCATCGGAACTTATTACAAAAATGCAACAGATGAAATAGCAAACAGAATATACTGCCCATTAGTACCCGATTTTGGCATGATTGTATAAATCGCCTTTATATATTTTTAATCCGTTTATAATAATACATCCAATATGTACGTTACTAATGGATTCAGCCATACAACTTTTAAAGGCAATTATAAAATAAAGATATACAATGATGATAAATAACTAAGTTTTAATATTCTTAATTCGAAAAAATCGAATTTAAATAATAACCAAGAGGTTTAGCGTAAAAACAATTTAATGTATACAAATAAATAAATTACAGTGTAATACAATTTCTAAATCAAAACGGTTTAACGGTTTGAATATTGGAATTTATGAAATGCTTGTGTTCGTTTTCGCCAAAATTGTTCGATGGTCAAGTTTAGTTCCTGTCGTATAGCGTTCCTGGTAGGATGCATAAACTAGGGTTTATATAAAGCGTTTAAAGATTCCTAAAACAAAAATTACTCGGGGATAAAATCTTGTAAGTTGTGGAGGGGATTTATTAATCGGTCCTGCAAAGCTAGGATTTGTCCCCATCACTTTCCATAGTCCAAAAGTGATCAAGAATGTCTTCGCTTGTAAAGCGAACATCCGGATCCGACTGCAGCATATTGGCTATTAGATCTCGGACACCATCGCCTACATCCGACCAGTACGGGTCGGGAAACTCGTAAATTCCAGAGATAATGGCGTCGAACAGTGGTTCCTGCTGGTTGTCAGGCGCTACAAAAGGTGGAAACCCGCACAGCAGTATATACAAAATGATACCAGCAGCCCACACATCGATCTTTAAAAAGAAGTGAATTTGTTGAAAATAAAACTGGAAACTAAGTTAATTTCTTACCTTTAAGCCATATCCGGCCTCTAACAATATTTCTGGTGCGACATAAGTAGGTGTACCACAGACGGCATACAGAAGTTCCTTTACCTCACAAGCTAATCCAAAATCAGCTAGCTTTAACTCAACTACGTTTCCATGTTTATCCAGTTCCACCTATACTTGTAATTGGTTTTAAAAATTATTGATATCATAAATGATTATTTGTATCTCACCAGGAGATTTTCCGGCTTAATATCTCTGTGCACAATGCCCATGGAATGTAGGTAAGACATGGCTGACCCCAAATGCCTAATCATAATGCGCGACTGACTTTCCGAAAAACGCGTTACCTGAGTTATTGCATCAAACAGATCGCCACCTAAAATTATTAGGTACAACAAATTTATTGTAGAGTAAACTATACCAAAATTATCTCATTTTACGTACCACTTACATACTGCAAAACCAGATACATATTTGTAAGTTGGTCAACATCCATTATCAGAGAAATTATATGAGGATGATCTAACTTCTTCATTACTCGAACTTCAGCATCCATATAGTGTTCCTTACCTTTACATTTGCTTTTATCTATTATTTTAAGTGCAAAAAAATCTCCCGTTCGACGGTGCTTGATTTTCAGGACAATAGCAAAGTTGCCATCGCCGATAATTTGTCCCAATGTATAACTGTCACCAATGACAGCTGGCAAGTCACCTATCTCTATGCCAGAGCTCTTAAGTAACGCCGCCTGCTTATCGTGCTCGGTTGCAGGAGCAGCTTTCAATGCATCGGCATCAACTAGCGGAAAAACTTTTTTGCTTTTGATAGGCATCTTGGGCTTTGGTCCCTTGCACGTAGTCCCCGCTGTACGCAGAGTCTTGCGTATGGCATTAATAGCTCGCTGCTCCTCTACCTCTAATTTAAAATCTTCTGCAGTGTTAATTCGTTCTGTGCCATATGCAAAGAAAACATCATCCGGGCCAAAAAAATCAACGAGCTTAACTACTGATGTACCTGAAAGACTGAATACTTTTCTCACATAACCCGTATCTAGACGAACAACTTGTGTAATGGCTGTCAGTACGTGATCAAAGCTGGGGCTGTTACGCTTATTTAACAGCAAACGCATAATACGGCGTGGCTTTGTTCCACTACGTATCAGTGTCACAATACGAGGATAAACGACAGTGTAACGTTCGATAAATCGGGACGCATTTGACGGACTCACGTTGGATGCTCCTCCGCTACAGCCAGTGAATAACCCATTGCTAGTTGCGAGTGATCCGTTTTTCAGGGGAGAAACGGGTCGATAATATTTAGTCAAACGCTGGTTGTTACAGCGACTATGGTTGGCCAACGTCAAATTAGCCAAAGCCTGGGAGTTTATGTTATATTCCACTTTTTTGAAATTTTCGTTATTGCATGAACAAACGTAGCTCTGACCATCTTCCAACTCATCGAGGGCGGTAATCTGAGATAAATCATGACACTATATAAGTCCTGTGACTACACCGAAGAGTACTCACCTTTTTTCCGCACATGCTGTAAATGGCGCGCACTGCACCTGGTATCTTTACATTCTCTTCCAGCAAACGGGTAAGATCCTCGTAGAGACTTTCAAATGATCTATACCGTTCGTTGGACACAGGGATTGTTATACCTGGGTAAAACCGATCCCCGTTACGGTAGAATTTGATCCGAAGCGCTTTGCGTGTCGGCGTTCGGTTGCTTGAGATACGTTTTTTTATGTGGACCGCGGCGGATACAATGGTCAAGCCTTCTGTTGTACTGTCAGAGTCGATCGTGACACCATTTTCTATAATTTTGGGTCCGAGAGTGGCTGATGTAGTTGAAGAGGCACCACTTAGCGAGCCGTCAGATATCCCCAGACTGCTAATGCCTCCTGTCGTGCTAAAATTTCTAGGCTCACTGAACTCTTGGTCCAGATCTGAAATGGGGCTTCCGCAATCTGTACTGTGGCTATCGAAAGCTTCATGCTGCTTTTGGGGTTTATTACGGTTTTCGATTAGAGGCTCGTTAACCGAATTTTTGGGCATTGTCTTCTTTGGTGTGACGTTTTGCAAAGCTGTTGGTGAAGACGATTTAAGGGATGAATGCACAGCACCAGGGCAAAGCAGTCTGTCTAGCTTTACTGTGTGTACTTCCATGCTGAAAGAAGTCCAATGGAATGTATATAATTTGTCATTTTGGGTGGATGCCGTCCGGAACTACTCAGGAACTATAAGAGATACAAAGTTGAGATTAAGCATGAATATTGAAGTCCTTGAGTTCCCTACGCAGCGCAAGTTTATTTCAGCATCCTGACACGCTTACAAATTACGAAAAAGTAAAACAGCGGAAATCTTAGAAACTATTACAGCTAGAAAGTTTAAATTCAGTTGTGTTTTGATTGATTTGTTGATCTAGTCACGCCCACTCTAACGCCCACAAAACCCGAAAAAGCAAAAAATTCAAAAATTTCGTAAACTATAAGAGCTAGAAATTGTGCTTAAGAATACGTATTTAGAATACATGCATACAACACACGGGAAACTGTGGCGTCCATAACATTATGTCTTCGTTTGACCTTGTATAACATATGTTTGTCAATATCTATCGAATTACCAAAGATTTTTTAAATCGGTACAATATTTCGCCATTTATGAAGAAATGTAGGTTATAAGGCCTCACATGGACAGTGACGTCATTTACTCGACATTCTTTCTGTGCAACTAGCAAAATGAATATTTTTTAATCGTGTAAAACGGTTATGTCACGGTTATCTTATAGTCGTGGCAGTCGACTATAGCGCTTCTTCTTGTTTTGAAGTTCATAAAAGGGTATATTTTAATTGCTTAAAAGGCATGAGCAACAGGTCTTCCATTAAAACCACAAAACCACAAAAAACCGCGGCTTCCGTGTTGTATGAGCGGTGTTCAGAAACGGACTCAGGTAGCGCCGGTAATACCATTTTTCAGTAGTTCATCTATTTATATACAAAATGTTTTTAAATAACTTAATACATCAAATTGTAAACAGTTAAAAAAATTTGTTGTAAGATTTTTCGATTCAATAGCGTATTATTGTTAAAGTCTTTAATAAACGCACAAAATAGAGCAATATAAATTAAGGAATTTTCTTTTTGATAGTATAAGTGGTCAGGGCTATGATTTTGATCAAATATATATGTACATACATATATGTACATACCTCAAAGGATAGAAAACGCTTTACTCTGTTATATATTTTTTTTACCAAATACACAATACCCTTTTACCTAACAAATTATTTGTTATTTATTAAAAGAACTATTTTAAGTATGTATTAATCCCAAGTTTATTTATTAAGTTAATTTTATTAATCGTGTTCAGTAGAAAGGTGGTAACCTTTTGATTCGATGTCCATAAATTATTTTAATTTATTATGAAAGAATGTATATAAAACCCTTGTCTGAGAACCAAAATTCTTAGAGCTGTTGGTTCAAGACAAACGTACCGAAATGATTACGGTTGTTAGAATAATTTCTTTTACGGCCTCACCTTTTTCACAAAATAATGTTTCGACGTGTGTATGTATGCAGGTAGAGCGTCAAGCCAGCTCGGAAGTTTTATTGACTGTTGTTTGGAGATTTATCATCACCATCTGCAGCCAAAGCTTGTTATAATATATGATAACAGTTTAAAAAGATAATATCGAGCCGAGATGAAAGTTATGAATTTGAAATGCACTTTAGTTTTGAATCGCTAACTTTGCACATATGAACTTGAGCAAGCGAAATTTCTCGCTTATTGAGTCCACTGTCGACAAAATATTGGTTACAAAGTGCAAAAAATATAAAACGATAAAGAGTTGAGAAAAATTCGAATATATTTAATTAAAATGCTTTGGACACTTACCGACAGAAAAAAATATACGACAAAATACCAAACTGTCATAACTGTGTGCCCCTGTTTCGATGATACTAATTTCCCAATAACCAAGCTTCGATGATATTAATTTCCTAATGTACATCATAATAATTTTTGCGTTTGCAGAACTTTTGTGTACAGTATAGAAGTATTTGAATCCATTTTGCATATAAACGGGAGTTTTTTTTTTCGTATATTATTAAATAACTATGTATTATTATATACCGATGTTAATATTAATAATAAAAATAAATCGACAACAAATTTTTCATATACATATTTTCAGTTACTAAAGAAGTGCCTGGCGGCTTAAAATGCCTGAGCCAATCGCGGTTTGTCGAAATAACTTTCCAATATTTGCAACACATACGCAAATAAATTCTTTTAATCAGTTATTGTAAACAGCAGTACGAATTTGAAATGAGCGGTGGACAGGAACGGACGCAGGTATCGCCGCTAATAATATTTCAAATCAGTAGTTTATCTATAAATGTTTTACAATGTTTAGCAATAATTTAATACATCCAATTTTTATAAGTTACAGAAGTTTGTTGTAAGATGTTTCGATCCAATAACGGATGGTTTTTAACATAAACGCACCGAATAAAGAAACGAAATACACAAGTTTTAGTTAGTTTTTAAATAAAATTTGTACTAATCCTATTTATTAAGCTAATTTTAATTAATATTTCCGATCGTATATAGCAGAAAAGTGGTAACCTTTCTTAATTCGATGTTCATATAATTATATTTTAATATTATAAGACGTCCATCAATTTGTTATGATTGTAAATAGTATAAATAATATATAATAAGGTAACATTCAGCAATGCTATTGTCGATATTGTTATCGAGAAAAGAGAGAGGAATAAAATTAAGTTGGACGAGAAATTTTAAGTATTATATGATAAAATAAGTTATGTTTTTATCCCGCTTTGGGCTGAATATTGGCGTTTACCCCACTATAATAATTAAATTATACAATCAATTGAAATATTACATTATTTTTAATTAATCTTATTACAAATCTTATTATTATTAATTTTTTATTTAGTATTTTTTAAGTCTTATCCGAGTTTATTTAGTTGACTTAGCATAATAAGACAGCTCTAAATGGTCGGTCATAAAACACATTCGAAAAAGAAAGGCATATTAAAGCAATAGACCACATTCCTTATCAACCAAAACATATGTATGTATGTGTACATATGTATGTATGTATGTATGTACATCCATATGCCAAATAAGATCATAGGGCTAACAACATACAGAGTGAAAGTGTTGTAAATTATTACAAAAGTCATATTCATTAGCATTATTTGACATTTGCCCATAACTCTGATACTATCAAATATTTTTATAAATTTTAAATTTTAAGCCAGGGGTGCTCAAATTCGTCTTGCGCCAAAGCATTACAAATACAAAAAACGAGCACATATTTAGTGACGCTTTTGTGTTGGTATGCAGCTGTGAACTGTGAGAAAAAAAATCGGTTTTCCAATTCCACGCGAAATAAACTGTAAATTGCAAACCGAAGTTACAAAGAATACATTAAAGTGCAAGAGTTCAAGGAAGTTTCAGGAAAAAACAAGAACAAATTTTATTGCAGTTACTGTCGAAATGAGGAGGAAAACGAAAAACTGTTTGTGGAATAGCAGCGCGAGAGTTACCGTACAGGCACGGTACGTTGAACCTGCAACGAAACCTGCCAGTGCTACCCTAGTTACGATACACAAACTAAATTGTTGCAACTTTGACTTTTATTGACAACGAGAACAACAACCGACCAAAGGGCCAGTCGTTAGACCCATGTTCGTCAACGCAGCACTTGACAGGAAACCCCAACTCTCTCTCAAGCCAGGAAATGGGACACCGACTCAGCGGATCTCCACTTGATTGAACTTCACTTGAACTGCCCACATATGTATGTATATGCACATTGTATTAGTATGTAAGATATATATAAGAACTATGTACTTTTGGCAGCGGCGGTCTCTTGGTCACTGCTTAAAATTATAAAATTCAGTCTCTAAGTTGACAGATCAGAAGAAAGTCATATTTTCTCTATTCATTCTCCATCCACCTCTCTAAGAAAAATATTAAAGAATACTAACTAATCACCAACTCCCACGAAGAAAGAAATTATCCGAATTAGCCGACTCCAGACCGAGATGGAGAAGGTAGTTTTCCTGTACAAATTATGGGAAAAAGGTTTGTGGCCCGATGGCGGTGCTGCTCTCGAATGAGCGGATGAGGCAGTGGCACCGGTAGGGTGCCCGCCGGGAAGTACGACAGCCGCTGGATGGCTGCTGATGGTGTGGCACCGGCAGGGTTCTTGTTGGGTGGCAGCGGCTGAATGGCTGCGGGGTGGCACTGAATGGATGGCTGCTGTCTAAGTGGTTACTTAAGGACTGCCGGCCGGCCAATAATGTTGCTCCTAGATGGCCGCTGATGATGTGGCACCTGTGTGGTGCTTGCTGCTATGTCAGTTTATGGTGAGAGAGTCTATACCTCTGGCCTTAAGCTCAGTGGGCGAATGCAAATAAGTTGACGGCGATGGCCGGAGTCAAGTTTACCAGCCAAGTGCTCTTCATTCAAATAAATGTAAAACAGTACCGAAAACCGAACTGTACGAAAAATGCTTACTTGGTAGGAAGGCCAACTGCGTGACAGTGGAAAATGCTGATGATTGCAGAATGAGCATAACTCACCATACCGCGGACCAATAGGACCCAAGCACGGCCCACAAAGGCGGTATGCTGAGTCGGCATCTAGAAACAGTAGGATGATCCAATAATCATCCGACATTTCTACCGACTGTTTATTACCCTTCAACTGCTAATTAAAAAGCTTACTCCCACGCCGACAGCGATCCAGATGTCCGTTGATCCAGCCGACTTTACTACGTTTTTCCTCTGAAGCATTGGCTTACTTAGCACGTGGCTATGCCTTATAATGTTTAGCAGGGGGAGGCCGCCACACCCGCAGTCTTTCTTATGCCTTCACGCTGGTTCAAATGTTATTATATGCGTGCCATTTCTTTCTATATTTGGGCCGTCATCCGTGGTAACTATTGCCGGACACTCATTGATTATCATTATACTATCGTCTACCAGCGTTATGGGGCTAAAGTGACTGGACTGCGTTTCGCAGTGAGCCGTGACCCCTGCGTGTAGATCTCGGGTCGGAGAATGGTGTGTTGGAGGGAAAAAGGAAAGACGGTAATCTTTTTACATGTAAATTTTATCCTAGGGTATGCGATGAGCACGGGAATAATATTATCGGACTGAAGGACTTTAATATTAGATGCCTCTATTAGGCTTATAACGGGGACCACTGTGGGGTGATCAACTAAAACGGACTTCAAATCTGCATGGTTACAAATAGGGGTTATGATATTTAATTTTGCAAGTGTGGCCGTGGGCATCAGATTCTGTATCTCTATAATTAGCATTCTATTTCTGGCCAAAAGAATTCGTATAAATGTGGGGTGTCAACCAGTTCATTCTTTATTGCCTTAATGATTTCGTTGACGGTTAATTTGTTGATCTGCCTTTGCGTTTCGGTGTTAATGACTACTTGTCTATTGTTTGATTCAATTAACCGGGATTCGGACATTTTTAACATTTCGAGGTCAGCTGCATCAGGAGTGCCCGATACCACTTTTAACACGGTGCCTAAAAAGTCTAGGCAATTCGGTGGTGTACCTTTAATAAAGATAAAATGTTTCTAATATGATCAGTATCAACGTCTAACAATTTTCTCGTGTGTGGTTGTGGAAATAACGCCGACAATCTAGCTGTTTCGTCTAACATAATTGAGAATTCTATCAAATTGCTCGAATGCCTAAAGTTATTCCTATGTTCCCACACCAATGCAACTCCGACGGTTATGGGGATGTACCGGGCATGAGTGTAGTCTGTCACTCTAGCGTTAACTACTGCTAATATTGTTAATATGATTCCTGTATCCTGCAATCCTGTAAGAAAAGGACAACTTACATCTACTGGCTTTTCCTTAGTGTGAGTATGTGTTGGGTGTGTTAGGTGTGCGTAAATTAGAGGAAAGAGTTATTTAAGGTTTTGCTTGTGAACAACCCTCCAATGAGGACAGCTGTTCCCAGGTCCTCTTGAACGTTTTTCCATGTATAACAAAGCTAACTTATTGCCTAGTCCTCTATTGTTCTTTAATTAGACTTTTTCTCCTACCTCAATTATTCTATTTTGTCTTGATGGGTTACATCTTTCAAGATTATCCTTTTGTGCTTTTGTAATATTAATTTTTATTGCTTGTTTAACCTCGTCGGAGGCGGAATGAATCACGTCGATCGATTTTTGGTTAATGACCGAATGTAATGTTTTATTGTATTCAACGGTCGCCCGCATAACTAGTTCCACTGTATAATTAATTTGCTTATCCAATTTAATGCACCTCGCTATTTCTGTCAGGGTGCTGTGTAGGCGTCCGTTTTAACTACTGTGCAGCGGGGGTTCATTTACAAGATTTATGGCATACTGATTTTTGAGTAACGAGGTGATTGTTTCAGATCTGAAAGAAGCTTCGTTATCACAGTATATTGTCTTGGTATTTGGGAATAAGTTTATTAGTTGGAAGATAGGGATTTTTACGTCCACTATTGCCCTAGACACTTTTGGTTATACTATCGCAAATTTGGAGAACCTGTCGATGCAGGAAAAATGTCAATATGCAGCACTTCGCCGACATATGACGGAATTGGATTCATCCCAAGTTCTTGTTTCTTGGGGTGTCTGTCATACTTCGCTGTAGTGCATATTTTGAAATTTGTTCGCTAATCTCGACATTTTTTGAAAGTAATAGTGACGAAGGACTTGTTTGATATTTTCCTGAGCAGCTCTTTGTGTTCTTGCAATGCCAACATTTCGTCGCTGGAAAATTTGACACCAATGCATGTTGAATGCTGGCCAATGTTGGCAAGTTACAATGAATACCGATGACTA